GGAGCCCCTGGCCCGGCCGGCAGCTCCGCGGGCCCCGGGGCGGCCCCAGGAGCGCTTCCCACAAACACTTGTCCGCCAAACAGATGCACAAATACCTTTAATCACAACATAAACTTTTACAAGTATTTTCTTCCTGCCATAAACATACAGTCATAAAGACGTAAAGTCATAAACATTCAACGCTTAGATGGCTCATGGAACAGTTTGAAGGAGGTGAGCAGGGCACCTGCCAACTCCGGGCTGTAACAGCATCGCCACGGGGCAGCAGCAGCTCTGAAAAGCTGTTCCCGCCGCAGCTCCTGCTGCAGCCCGTGGTGGGTCATGTCCCTCATCCTGGCAACGCGGTTTGCAGCTGGAGCTGCCACACCAGGTCCTGGGGCAGTTCCTCAGAGTTTCTGACACTTCATCTTGTAACACGGAACAGTTCTCTGCCTGATGTGAGCAGCGTTCCAGCCCTTGCTGGGGTCTGTTAGCACATTGCCCAGGATGCTGCTCATTTGCATGAAGTGCAATTAACTCGAAATTTAGCTTAAACCAGGAGCTGCCCAGGTGCTCCTGACAGGCTTAAGTGAGCACGGGGACTCTGTGCCACCTGGTTGTGAAGGCACAGCCTGTCCTTAACGAGCTCGGTGGGTGGGCTGCAAAGATCAGCAGAGCAGAGAAACGCCTGCCCAGGGAGGCAGAGCTCAGCCCCACACGGGGGGTTTGCTCTGGGGCTCAGAGCCACATGCATGGCCCTTGGCCCTAATGCCACCCGTGCCAGCAGCACAGGGAAAGCAGGAAGACACCCTCAGAGCATTTGATTACGTGAGTTTGTCTTTTTTATGGCTGCAATATCTCTAAGTTTTTTTGGGATTTTAAATGTTGCTTGAATGCAGTGGATTGTGGCAAAGGATTTGGTCACAGACTCATTAACAAATCACAAATGTGGGCTTGGTGGGATCTCCAACAGCCCCAGTCCTCCCCAGGGCCAGCTCTGGGGTGCTGAGTAATGGTGGGCTCCAAGCAGGAGAGACCTGAGCAGGAGAGGTGAGGGTGCTGGTGTTCAGGAACCTGCATCTTGGCAGCACAGGCATAGAGGGCTGAGCCCAACACTGCTGGTGGGTCCTGTCAACAATGCAGTCCTACAACTCACCTGGACTGTGGGGCACACGCTGACTGAATAGTACTTGAACAGCTGAACAAGGTGACAACCTCAACTAAAGGGTGTTTATGTAGCTCTGTTTAGCACCCTGGGAAAAACACTTAATATAAAACCTTTCCAAGTTGTTAGCCATTTTAAAAAAACTTTTTTAAACAGTCACAACTTCTTAACTCGGCAAAATTTTCACAAACAAAATTACATAAACCTTGTTGAGAAGATGTTGGAAGTTATTACCCAGATTTCAACCTTTTTTGCTACTCAAGCCTTTCCAAGATTGGTTTGAAAAACAATCCCACCAAAAAGTGGTGTAGGAGGAACTAAATGTATCCCTTTATTCCTTGGATTTTATTCTAGGCATTTTGATTTGCTGGATAACAGCTTTCAACATCTTTTCTATTTTGGCTTTGGTGAGTGACTTTCGGCTGTACCACACGTGGTCCCACCAGGAGAACAGAGGTTTAGGAACCAGATACAGGGGGTCCCAGACACGGAGCATGTCTGGTGGTCTCCTCCTGGCATACCTCTTGTAATCCTCCACGGGGCAGTCGCTTGGATTGTCAGGCTTGGCATAGAGGCGTGGACCTGAGTCCCCTGTATTTCTTTCTTCTTTCAGCTCATCTATCCACTCCAAGTACTCCAGCTCTCCCTGGCTCTTTTGTAGCACAAGCTGCCCCCAGTACAGATTACGGCTCTGCCTGTGCGTTCTTGCCCCAAATGCCCTAATTATATTGATGAAAATTAGGTGCAAATAGGACTCAGGGTGCATCTTACTTAAAAGTCCACCCTTACGAAGACTTGCCATATCTTCATCTGTCAAGTTCTCCAAAATACTCCACTCTCCCTCTCTCTCTTTCTGAGTTAGCTGGTGTCGCTTTAATTTCAAGGCTTCCTGAGATGCTCTGAATTCCAGCCCTTTAATCACACTGCACTTGTAATTGTGGTCCTTGAGGTATTGCTCCATGTTGCTCTGGAAGAAGTGCAAAGAAGTGGCAGAAAAATCTCTGCCATTCTGTTTCTTTGCAGAACTGTAGAAGGAGGCCAGGTAATGATCCAGGTCCTCAGGTGGCAGCTCACAGATCTTGCGTGTTTCAGTGGGGCAGTGAGAAGCCAGCCAGTCTTTGAAAACTTTTATCCGATAAGTGTTACGCTTTCTCTTTTCCTCCCACTTCTTTAATACACCTAAAAGATAAGACACAGCTTTGAGATTAGCAAGAATTTACAAGGAGATCAGTGGAATAAAAGGAGATGCAGAACAATGTTCACCTTCCTCTTAAAAGTAAATAGGAGATGCTGGGACTTTCACTAACCCCTCCCTTTATAGCTTTGGTTTATTTTTAGCTTTATTACTTGGCTGGTGACCCTGCCTACTACTGTGTAGGTACATTGAAGATATTATTGCTTTTAAATTATTTTTAAATGGGAGAGAATGAGTCCCTGAGGAGATTAAATCACTGAATGTCACTGTGAGGTGCAAGTGTGGAAAGCACTGGTGCAAGTTCTATGGGCCTTCTCAGATGGCAACACAGGACTGGAGCTGCTGCTGGTGGCTTGGCCTGACGTTGATCCTCACCCTGGCTGGTGGTGGAGCTGGCCCTGAGGGTCATCACAGGACCACTCTGGTGGGACTAGCGGCTTGAGCAGCAGCTGCAGTGCTGGCTGTGGAGCCCCAGCAATCCCAGCTGGACAGGAGACACTTTTGTCAAGGTGCAGCTACTCTGGTGATGGCAGGGGCCAAACTCGGCTCTGGGAGAACAGCTGGGGGTTGGCCTGTAGATGGATCTTGTGATTTGCATCCATTTAATAGGTATAGAGTGGTGTACAATACAGTTTGCATTATGTAAAATGTGTTTCAAAGCATTCTGCTTCTTTACAACAATCTCTTCCGGCAGGAGAACTGTCATTGTGAAATAAAAACAATGATTAAGAATTAGAGGTGGATAGTGAGGGAGAACTAAAAGAGGAGTAAAAAGTTTTTTGTTTAAGAGTTTGGGTTTTTGTTTTTTTCAAGGATTGCCAGGATTCCAGTTGGGCTCTCTCTCAAGTTGCCATGGCAATACCACCTCTACCTAGTTCGATGTAGCATGAGAAATGAATTCTTTGGATTGCTGAAAAGCTCCATCTGCTTGGCTGTGACTTCTCCGGGAGTGAGGAGGGGCAGCTTAGAAGGGGTTCTGGAGCCAACAACAGCCTGAGATCCCCCTTCTTGCACCAAGCTATTTTAGATGTGCTCAGTTGTTATTTTAAAATGCTGTGGCTGGACTGAGGTGGATTCTCCTCATCCCTGTGCTGCTGTTCTGGGTTTTTTGCTTGTTTTGTTACTGACTGGTCTGTGCAGGCAGAGGAAGGGCTTGTAAATCAATACATGCAGGGGTCTGGCTTGAGCCATAAGCCGTTTGTCTTGGCAGGAACAGCTCCTAGAGACACTCCCAGGTGAATTTCCAGTCCCTGCTGCTGCTGATTGTTGTCAATTACAAAAACAGTCAAATAATGGTCACTAAACCCAGCTGTGCCAGTCTGAAGCATGGTGTGTGGCACAGGGCAGGGCTACAGCAGCTCTGCCAGGCTGGACACCCAGTGTGCCATGGGGCTGGACTGTGATTGTGGGGAGAGGATGGGGTTTGGGGAATATGAAATGGGCTTCTCAGACTGAGTGTGTGGAAGTGAGTCACATGCTGTCAGGGGCTACTTCTCAGCCAGATGGAGCCATGGAGTTGAGCCACTGGATGGAAAACATGTACTCTTACTTTTTAAATTAAATGTTTAAAATCTGCTTCAATGTCTACACCCAGATACTGGCAGAAAAACCATAAAACTGACTAGACAGCAGTTCTCTTGGAATAATGTGAAACAGCACCTTCAGGCACACAAATCATTATCAATGCAAATTTTGTGGCTTTTTGATAACATCTTCAAAAACCTGGACATTTGCATTTTATTTGAGATGTTCCATCGTTAGATTAATAATATGTGTGTACCTGGCATTAAGGCTCCAGTGTATTCTCCTAAAATATGATGGTTTATTTAATGAATGAAGTTGATTTCATTGATGGCTTTCTCACTACTTGCAAAAGACTACCATCATTTTGGTCATGTCCACACACTGCACATCAGCTGTTCCTTCTGGTGTGAACAATGTCTCTTTTACAGCAGGATTAAATCAGCCACAAGCCAGGCTTCAAATATCTTCATCAAACAGCGTATTCTTCTGACTCAGAATAATTTGAAATCTGCTCTGTGCGTGGCTTGCACTTGGTATTGAAGTTCCCCAGTAAACCATGTATCTTGCAAGATAACATCTGAGCAATTATAACTTCCCCACTCCAGCAGGATCCCAAGGATCATGTGTATGAAAATTTTAAAATTCTTAAAAGCACTTAAGAGATCTGTTTAGCTCATGTAATTTAAAATGCAGGATTGCAACTTTGCTCCCATTGCCATCTCTGGGATTTTTGCCACTGATGTTGGTGCAGCCCAAGTTTCAGCCACAATTTCTGTTTTGCTGCTTTCACAGTTACTTCCTCTTGATTTCTCGAGACCTGAGTTCCTGTCTCGGGCTCCAGGTTCTCTCTTAAGTACAGCCAAGACACTATGTGGTGATTCAAAGTAAAGTGAAAGACCAAAGTATTCAAACTGTGTAGTTAAGGCTGGGCCAGAGCCAAGTACATGTTTGGGCGCCTCCATGAACAGTGAAGTGCCGAGCACCGAAGGTAGGAACCTATTTTGTCCCTTCCAGCACAGAGCTCCCCAAATCAGAGGCATTTACATTCATGATACAATACCAATTTTGGCAGCTACATGAACTCACCCTCCTTCAGTATTTTGGGAAAGGGATTGACAGAACATACTCACACACCCACAAACCCTCCGGGAAGAAAACTCCAGACTTACATTGGCTTGAAGATGCAGGTGAATGGTTTGTGCTCTTGGTCTCTGGACTCAGTGAGGCTGAAGGATGCCCAAATCCTGAGGGTTCTCTCTCTTCCATAGAGTTTTCAGTAACATTCCCACTTAAACCCACTTCTGGTGTGCCAAACTTGAGGCGCAGTGTGTCCAAGTATGTCACAGAGGTGGGTGACTCAAGTTCGGCCTTTTCTTCAATGTTGGAACCAGGAACAGATTCTAGATGTTGCTTTGGTATTGCTGAGCCAGAGGAATTCCTTTCTATACAAGTTTCAGTTGGGGACCCCACAGGATTAAGAGGACCTGACCTCAAGAAGCTGCTGTTCAGGCTCTCCTGGTCACTGATGGGAGATTTTGGACTGCAGCGAAGTGTTAGGGGTGACCTTCTTGTAGGGGCAAAGCCAGATGCTTGGGTGGCTGTCAGCTTGTTAAATGCCATCATCTGACTGCACTGCATTTGCAAATCCTCCTCAGCATTTACATCTTTAATTAGTGATTCTGACAGAATATTCTGGTTCATTGTGTCTCCTTGGTCATTTTCATCAGATATGCACTGTTCTTCATCAGAGATGATTTGTGGAACTTCATTGTCTTCTTGTTTCACCCTCTTTCTGTCAGTTTTGACTTTTCCAGCAGGCACTGACAGATGCTGCTCCACTGCAAAGCACAAGTTCATAGATTTGCTGTTTTTTCCATTTTCTCTGGGCAATGGTTCATGATTCCTTATGTAGGCCCTGTTGTTTTTCTGCTGAGTAATGTCTGGAGATCTGCTAAATGATCCCGTGCTAACGGTGTCTGCTTTAGCCCCCTCAAATGATGGGGCCATCCTGCACCTCTTTTCATTTAAACTAGCTTCACTTGATGATGTCTCAGAAGATACCAACCGCTTTCTCTTTTCTACAGCTTCATTCTCTTCTCTGCTTCTCTGGTCTAATTTTCCACACTGCCAGTGATAGGCATGTCCAGCTCCACATATCCACAGAACAGGATTGTCCCTGTTAGGATGATCCACGTTCTGCACCATTTCCAAGGCTGGGATTTGATTACATATGGTCCCATGAGCGTGTGCCCAGGTCACGAGATTGATGAGATCCCTGTGGAGGGAACTGACACTGATGCACCTTCCATCACCGACATTCCCGCTCTGCAAAAATGTGTTGGAGAAACTTAAGTGAAAGAGGATGTGCATAAAATAGCAGTCCTGGGGGCTGCTTATAGTCCCCTCTAAATGGAGTAATAACTGTAGATCACTGATTCCTCTAATGATTCTTTTTAAAAACCAATTTGATAATTCTTTAAAATAAATAAATTTGTCCAGTTTGAAAACCTGGAGGGTAGTTTGTGGGCATGGTCCTGGAATGATGAATTAATTCTGGGTATGATTTACATGTACCTGTGGGCTCTGAGTCCTGATCAAGTAGCTCAGTTTATCTCACAGCCCAGCTGAACCACAGCAGCTGCTCCAAATCCAGAGCAGAACTGAGATCAACACCCACTGCCCACAGCTCAGCAGAAGGGTGACCTGCTCTGGTTGCAAATCTGAGTCCTGTGATCCCAGCAAGCTTGGGCCTACAGACAATTTGGTTCTCACTTATGGAAAACAGTAAGGGAAAGTGCTAGGAATCAGCTTCTCAGTCTCCCACCTTCCCATGGCCAGCAGGGCTCATACTTCTGTCAAAATGGCAGCACTGCTTGCCTCAAAGGGATGTTGGATACATGAAGTTGTTTGTCAGATGCTTTTCAGAAACCAAAATAGTTAAAAATTGTTTTTTTTAAATCTACAATTGTAATGCTATAATTGATTCTTTTAGAAACAATTGTCTAAAGATACTCACCATGTTGCTGTTTTCTGTCTCACTGAACCTTTTCTCAGATGGAGATCAGTAAGTGACTGAATAGTCTGTCTTTCTCTCTCAGAACCTACAATAATCATCATACATGTGTGTGTCTCTATACGTATGTATGTCTGTGTGTATATACATATATTACCAAAAAATATCTGGCTAGCAGATGCAACTACATTTTCAATGCTTAGCCCAAAGCAAACACTCCTGCAGAACATCTGCCTTCATTAAGGTGAGCTCCCCTCAAGCTCTGATGAACTATATATAGAAAGCTGGACTTGTGTAAATATTTGCAGGATTAGCCTCTACAGTGTACCAATCAAAGTTGAAACAAAATATAAATATTGAAACAGAATTTTGAAAACCAGGCTCCAGGAGATGTTCCCTTCAGCACTGGCACTCTGAACACAGGCTGTGGTTAGCACTTTTCAGTTCTCCAAATAGTGAACTGCAGAAACAGAAGTACCAGAAATAGCGATGAGAGTTCAGCTTCTGACATCATCTGACTTTCCAAATGGTAAAAAGAAGAGGAAGTTTCCTAACAAAAGAAGTATTTGCATATGTACCTCATCTTTACTAGAGACTAAATCTGAAATTCTCCCATCTGTTTGGAAATGTTCTGTGTAGTAGCCTAGAAAGTCATCACCATCTCTGTGTAACTGGTCAGAGAAGAATAATCAGTCACTACACTCACTGTTGGGTGAAGCCTGGCTGGACTGACCCTGCCTGCAACTGCAGCTCAGGATGGCAGCCTGTGCCCCAGGCATCTTCAGCCGTTGTTAATGTAAAGCTGTGTGTGTAAAAGGGTGGTGAAAAACAGTGGACACAGGAATTTTGTCTAGTTCTGAGTAGCTCTGGCCTAAGTGTGGCACAGCTGCCTGGTGAGAAGGACCCGTGTTGGCCGTGGATGGAGCACACAGCCCGGCCACGGTTCCACACGCTCCTGATCTCCAAGCAGCTGTGGAGCATGGGAGAAGCACATCCCATCTGACAGACTGGGGCTGCCCTGCAATCCACGACTGTGGTGTTTGCCTGCAGGGATTTATTGCCAGTTAAACTGAGGGCACGTGGTGGGTGCACAGCAGGAAGGTGCCGTGCTGTGGGAACCTGAGTGCCTGAGGTGCCCAGCGCTGCCCCCCAGCTCTGCCAAGGGGACCCAGGAGAGGCCAAGGAGCCCAGCCTGGAGCAAGGGACAGGACCGAGTGGCTGGCCAGATGGCCACCAGCACAGCGTGAAGCCTGGTGGCTGCTGTGGGGCTTGGCCAGCATCTGTGACACGAGGCAGGGATGTGGAAACCAGGCCCTTACCCTCTCCTTCATATGCATCCAAAACTGTCAAACAAAAGTTTCATTGTTCCAAGCAGGAAAAAACCGAAAAGCCATGCATGAGGGAGCCTGTCTGAGCCCAGCACTGGAGGGAAGGAAATGAAAGCGAAGCCTCCTGGAAGAGCCCTTTCTAACCCCAGGAGACAGACCAGGGAACTCAGTGTCCTTTTTCCAAGAGAAAAGCACAGCTCAGGGCTCTGGCAGCACGTCTGTGGTCCTCCCGATGGGGAAGGGGCAGCAGGCACGAAAGCAGCTCCTGCTGGGCTGGCCCAGCCCTTCTGCACCCTGGACCAGCCCAGGAACTGCTCATTATGGCTCCTCAAGACAGGACAGATCATCCCAGCCCAGAATGCTGTGCTGTTTGTGTACAATAGCTTGTGAAACATGCTAAACTAGGATTTGCAAATTATTTTTTACTGAAATCGCTGCTTATTTTAAACAAAAATACAGACCAAAACTCCCTGCTTTAAAGCAGCAAATGCATTTTGAGCTCCTGACCTCTTACTGTATAGGGCCTGTCACCGAGATCTCACTCCTAATGGATTGTAGAAAACAGTTGGAAATCACCTCAAATGGCCATTTCAGCTGTCCTGGTTCCTCACAGAAGAACGAGCTCTGCCCAACTTTCTCCTGAGAGGTCTCTGTCCACCCTGTCTCCAAACCCTCCAAGGACAGGGACTCACAGCCTGTTCCTAGCCTGGCTGTGCCTCAAAGCTGAACAAAAACTTATGGGAGAAACATTTTTCCCTTTTGAAGCTAAAGAGAGTTTTATCTTCGAGTTCAACTCCTCCCTAAAGGGCTGAGCTGCTTGGACAAACTAAAAGTAACTTTCATGCCAATAATTTGGTGCTTACAGTTAGTGTGGGAAAAGGTAACAGAAACGGAAGCTCTGCATGGTCATAAGGCCACAAAATTACTGACTTGGCAGATGAACATCTTGATTTCTATCACAGGGGTCTTTAAATGGAATGCTTTTTATCCTTCCTTATCTCCAAGCACATGTCTTCCTTTTCCTGATCTCTTTGGGAAAAAAAAAAAAAAAAACGCCTTTTTTCTCTTGATATTTAGTTCCAAATAAAGGCTCTGGTAATCAGCTAAGGGTATGTCTCCAGCCTGCTCCAATCCTATTTGCATCACTTGACAGAACCTCCCCAGAAACTGTCAAGTGGAATCTGTCTGAATTTACAGTTACAACTGAGTGGAAAAAAATGAAACGTGTTTACCCACAAAGGCTGAGCTGACATATTTCTATTTGATTAATAAAAATCCATCTTGAGCATTGCCACAATTTTTACCTGCTTCCAGCAAAGCCAGGCTCCCTGTGGGGGAGGGTTTTGGGGCTGGGGGTTGAGATTTGTTTTGAAACCTTGTGTCTGGTTAAGAATCTGCCTGGCTGTGAGTGATGCTGTTTTAATTATCTTTCCAGGAAAGGCTCCCATCTGATAATGGACACTGTGCATGCAGGACCCACACCTTGCTGCAGAAAAACAGGACATTCCAAAGCAGTCTGGTAAACATTTTCTTTTATTTTTTTTTAAACCATAGGGAATTTAGTGTACTGATATAACCTGTAGTTCAGTGAATTTATGCTCACTAGAGGGGGGGGAAAGGTGTTTTAAAAAACTGTCAAGATTTTGCTTTCTCATGCATCTGATCTGCACAGTGAGCTTTCAAGACATCAGCATAGTTTATGCTTATTTTACCTCTGTATTCAAGAAAATGTGGCCAAATAATTTCAAACAAGTCTACAGCACTTCAGAGGAGCTTCTAGAGCTCAAGGCTGACTCAAAACATTGAAATGCTTATTCTGCTTCAAGACTTTCCTGTCTCTGGCTTGAGCCCTTGGGTGGAGGGAGAACATTATCAACACTTTCTGGAACTGACTGTCCTGTAAAGGCTGTCAAACACAGATACCTGGAATCACCTGAGAGTGCAAACATCTGGCTCTTCCTCTCTCTACATTTCAGTGGACTCTGAGCAGCATTATGGCATGTTGAAAGGCCTTTAAAGCCCTCTGTGACATACGCAGGCTTAGCAAGCAGGATAACTAAATAAAGACATTAATTGTATAGGCACTGAGTGCCCTTTAACCACTTTGTTCCTGTCCCTCCACCCTCTAATAGTCCCAGCTGTGTTCCTCTTTAAGTCTTACAACATCCATGTCACAGATTAGAAACCTGAGGCACACACAAAGCAAGTAAATATGAGAGCTTTGGCTCTTCAGTTCCAGATAAGACAGTGCAGGAAACTGGAACAATCCTTGTAGGACAACAACAGGATACGGAGCAGCAGTTCTAAAACTTGTCTTCCGCCCCCTTCCCCTAGCACGGATTCACTTGAGAAATACTTACTAGAGCTGGAGGGACATGGGACACCAGGAAAATACACATATAGGAGGGGGTGGTTGCCCAAGAGCTGCCAGGAATGGAGTGAAGGACACTGGGGGGGATGTGGTGTCTGGGGCAGGAATGGGATGGAGCTGTTCTTGAACACATCTGGTTGCAAGACGGGAGTTGAGAGCAGAGCAGAAGCAGCTCATGGCTGCCAAAAATCATTGAGCTTGTCCCACCACTGCGTAGCAAGGCCCTTTGGGGTGGATTAATCATTTCCCAGCACATCGTTTTTCCTGTTCTCTGCAATGTTTGTTTCTCTCCTCCCCCTCCCTTGTACAAGAGCCTTCTCAGCACCTCTTCAGCTCTTTTCCTGCCTCACCACGTCCTTCCACCAGAACCTCCTGCCCTGCCTGCAGAAACACAATCCCCAAAATACACTCTGTTCTTGCTGTGGGGCAGCATTCCTCCATTTTGAGAGATGCTCCCAGAGAATAACATCCAGTATATCTGATGGAGGGTCGGCTCTAATTGCATGCACTGGCTCTGAGCAAGGGAAGAGAGCCTGCTGTTAAATATTAGCCCACAGCACCACATTCCTCAAACAAGAGTGTTTTTGTTCAAAAAATCGGATACAATTTTTGTTATGAGTCTTAATTATCTCTTCTCTCGAGGGTCTGTGTTGCAGAGCTGCTGTCCTTGTAACTATGAGTTCTAAATCAAGTCTCCTTAAAAGAGCTAATAAAAGCCACAGCCAGCTGGCAAAGGGCTGCCTGGTCCAACAAACAGTAATCAACCACTAAAAACAGCTGTAGCAAAGGAAAAAATTAATTCAAACCCATGAGCTTCTATAAATAGGACTTAATACTTTATTTGTTTTGAAACCTTGTGTCTGGTTAAGAATCTGCCTGGCTGTGAGTGATGCTGTTTTAATTATCTTTCCAGGAAAGGCTCCCATCTGATAATGGACACTGTGCATGCAGGACCCACACCTTGCTGCAGAAAAACAGGACATTCCAAAGCAGTCTGGTAAACATTTTCTTTTATTTTTTTTTAAACCATAGGGAATTTAGTGTACTGATATAACCTGTAGTTCAGTGAATTTATGCTCACTAGAGGGGGGGGAAAGGTGTTTTAAAAAACTGTCAAGATTTTGCTTTCTCATGCATCTGATCTGCACAGTGAGCTTTCAAGACATCAGCATAGTTTATGCTTATTTTACCTCTGTATTCAAGAAAATGTGGCCAAATAATTTCAAACAAGTCTACAGCACTTCAGAGGAGCTTCTAGAGCTCAAGGCTGACTCAAAACATTGAAATGCTTATTCTGCTTCAAGACTTTCCTGTCTCTGGCTTGAGCCCTTGGGTGGAGGGAGAACATTATCAACACTTTCTGGAACTGACTGTCCTGTAAAGGCTGTCAAACACAGATACCTGGAATCACCTGAGAGTGCAAACATCTGGCTCTTCCTCTCTCTACATTTCAGTGGACTCTGAGCAGCATTATGGCATGTTGAAAGGCCTTTAAAGCCCTCTGTGACATACGCAGGCTTAGCAAGCAGGATAACTAAATAAAGACATTAATTGTATAGGCACTGAGTGCCCTTTAACCACTTTGTTCCTGTCCCTCCACCCTCTAATAGTCCCAGCTGTGTTCCTCTTTAAGTCTTACAACATCCATGTCACAGATTAGAAACCTGAGGCACACACAAAGCAAGTAAATATGAGAGCTTTGGCTCTTCAGTTCCAGATAAGACAGTGCAGGAAACTGGAACAATCCTTGTAGGACAACAACAGGATACGGAGCAGCAGTTCTAAAACTTGTCTTCCGCCCCCTTCCCCTAGCACGGATTCACTTGAGAAATACTTACTAGAGCTGGAGGGACATGGGACACCAGGAAAATACACATATAGGAGGGGGTGGTTGCCCAAGAGCTGCCAGGAATGGAGTGAAGGACACTGGGGGGGATGTGGTGTCTGGGGCAGGAATGGGATGGAGCTGTTCTTGAACACATCTGGTTGCAAGACGGGAGTTGAGAGCAGAGCAGAAGCAGCTCATGGCTGCCAAAAATCATTGAGCTTGTCCCACCACTGCGTAGCAAGGCCCTTTGGGGTGGATTAATCATTTCCCAGCACATCGTTTTTCCTGTTCTCTGCAATGTTTGTTTCTCTCCTCCCCCTCCCTTGTACAAGAGCCTTCTCAGCACCTCTTCAGCTCTTTTCCTGCCTCACCACGTCCTTCCACCAGAACCTCCTGCCCTGCCTGCAGAAACACAATCCCCAAAATACACTCTGTTCTTGCTGTGGGGCAGCATTCCTCCATTTTGAGAGATGCTCCCAGAGAATAACATCCAGTATATCTGATGGAGGGTCGGCTCTAATTGCATGCACTGGCTCTGAGCAAGGGAAGAGAGCCTGCTGTTAAATATTAGCCCACAGCACCACATTCCTCAAACAAGAGTGTTTTTGTTCAAAAAATCGGATACAATTTTTGTTATGAGTCTTAATTATCTCTTCTCTCGAGGGTCTGTGTTGCAGAGCTGCTGTCCTTGTAACTATGAGTTCTAAATCAAGTCTCCTTAAAAGAGCTAATAAAAGCCACAGCCAGCTGGCAAAGGGCTGCCTGGTCCAACAAACAGTAATCAACCACTAAAAACAGCTGTAGCAAAGGAAAAAATTAATTCAAACCCATGAGCTTTATAAATAGGGACTTAATACTTTATTTCCCCAGGAAGAAATGGGAAAGCTGAAATCAGTGAAAGGCAAATCTGTTACTTGAGCAGAAAATGCTACAAGGGGGATAGTAACTGTGTGAGCTGCCCTGTTACACCAGCTTTGCACAGGCAGAATGGGTGGGGAACCTTCCCTAACAATTCTTAAGGTAGGGTGTTCTACTTTTCCTTGGATTTTTTTTTTTTTTCAGTCCTGAGCCATGGAAGAGTATATATAATTGTATCAGCACAGACTTGACTGTGGGAACTTACTTTGCTCCCCAGCAGCCATTTGTAGTAAAATTATCTTCTTTCACTTAATTAATGGAAGAAGATGTCTGTTGGCAAGAAGGTACTTGTAGGAGTGTTTGCTGCTCTTAATTGCTTCTCTCACTGTTTGTGGTGTTTTTCATAAAGCACAAGCTTGGCCACCGGGGGGATAACACTGCCATCTTCTACTATAAAAAACACTTTTAATCCTCACGGTTTCGTGGAGTTGGGCTGCACCAGGCTCGAACAACACAGGGATGGTGCAGATCTGGCCCCGGGTGCTGGTTTGTTGCCGGTCCCCGGCAGAGGGTGCTCGGCCCCCGGCCAGCAGCAGCCCTGGCCCAAAGCGCCGTTCACTCGCCCTTCCCAGCCCTGCTTTCCTGGCCGGGCCCGCACTGGAGCCCTGCCCCCGGCTCCCGTGCGGAATAAATATGACTATTAATGTGGGGTCAAGGTCCTCCTACACTTGTATTCACAGTGAGGCACCATCGCACTGCACTTCCTTATTCCTGCCAAAGAACCTTTGCACCTCACAAGAAAGGAAACAGCAAAAATGTAGTGCAAAGCCCTCACCACAGATTTACTGACCTCTCAACATGCCCACTTTATAGGAAACTTGCTGTTTTACTGCTAAAAATACAGCACAAAAATGCTGACCGATAAGACTTCCTTGGCCAAGTACAGACACTTCTCCAACCCTGTCCTCCCAGCCCAGACAAGGCTCTCACTCTGTCTTTCTTTCTTTCAATTTCTGTTCTGTTGATGGAATTAATTCTGTATCAAACAGCAAACAAATAACATCCTGTTTGGGAGTTTGCTGAGGGGAAGCTGCAAATCTTACTTCATTTTATTGACAACGTGTTTATTGCAGTTTTAAGTATTTCTGAGCAGCCTTTTCAAGTTTAACTAAAATCATAGTGTGGCTCACACCATTTTTTCCTGCCATCTGCTAAACTAAAATGAAATGAGTGCTGTAAGCTGAAGGACAGACACATCATCCAAAGTTTCAAACACAGCTGTGAGTCAGGGCCTAGTACCCCTTCCCCTTGGTTTGATCTGACCCAAAACACACATCCTTTGCACTACCCATCCGCAAACCAGAGGTAACGTGTCACTTTGTAACACACTCTGGATGGTAGAAATTTGTTATTAAGGAGCATTTGTGGTGAATCTGTGTCTTATAATTAGACACAATTGTTCACAATGAGATGTAGTAACCTACTTTTTTACAATACAGAACAATTTTAACAACTGACACCTCAACTCCCTCCCAGGCTTGAGGATTTCACCTTTTTAGAAGCACTTTAAATCCCTGGTGACTCAGCCTGAGGGTGTAGGTAGAAGTCAGTCTCTCTAGCACTAGGCAGAGAGCTAGCTCTCATTTTACAGCTCAAGTATTCATGAAGGTTTGCTGAGAATGTGATGAGAAATGGCTCCTGGAGGTAGAAGAAATAACTTTCTTGGTAAACAAAGGGAAAGTTCCCCCTGTGTGGGATTACTTTCTACAGGCTCTGCTGGGGTGTCTCAGGCAGATGCAGGTGCCCACAGCTGGCACAGGGAGAGCACAGGTGCAGTGCCCATGGAAAGGAAAGGGACTTGTCCTTCACAAAACACATCTTACTGAGCACCCAAGGGTTTGGCTGCAGGCAAATTCATTAGTCAATGATATCTGGCCATACTGACAGGACATTTGGAGCCTTGAAGGATTCCCATCTTTGGAACCTTTGCTCCTATTTTCTTTTCTACCATTGTCCTTGTTTTGAAGTGTCACTCTCCCCCTTACCTTCTCCAAGGCCACACAAGAGGCTCTGGAAAGCCTCCCAGGGAGCACAGCAGTGCAGAGGACAGGGAAGCCTAGAACAGAAGGGAGAGAGAAGGTGTTAGTTATTTAGAAAAGTGATCTGAAAGCAGCCTGAAGATGCCTTGTGTGGGATGGAAGCAATTAGCAAAAGGCTCTGCACTGAGAGCACTCGATTTCACAGGGTCTGAGTGGCATGCTTGAGGCAGGAGGTTCTGGTGTGACCAGCACCCTCTGTAGAGGCACCAGTAAGAGGCAGTGGCTCTCAGTTTCTGCTTCCCACTTCTTGAGTGCTGCATCCAGCAGGATCCGAGGGCCTCACAGATGAAAAATACCACAGATGGATGGCATCTTGCCTCCTGGAGAGGCAGCAAAACCCAGCATTGGCACACCTAGCTGCTAATTAGGAAAAGAAAAATACACTCCGGTGTAGTACCTGTAGGAGGTTGCCAACCCTTGTCCTACAGCAGGAATAACACACCTGCCAACGTGTGAGCAAGAGCAAACAATTAAGCCCATTCTACAGATTGGAGCAAAACCTGAGACAGTGGTGAGTTCAGCTCTGGAGCTCATTGCTGAAACTGCTCTGAGTATGTTGTCCCCAAAGCAGGTCTGTCACCTGCTGTGCAAGGAGCCAATCCACACAGAGTGCCAGAGCAAGGAGCAGGGGGGCGTTCCACAGAGCAAGCTCCATT